GACCATGATACAGATGTTTTTTGTGAGCCAAAGTTCCCCAGAAATTAAGAGAGAACGGTTAAAACAAGGGGATTTTGCTACTTTAAACATGGCTTGGTTATTAAAGACAGCTGAAGAAAGTTATGATGTGGTGACGCAGAAGCAGAGAGAGAGCAGAATTCAGTACACAGCTGAACTCCTTGCTGTGGCTTTGAGAATAACAAGAGCTAGGAGAGAGAGCCCAGACTGTAAAAAAAAAAAAAAAAAAAAAAAAAAGCAAGTGGAAAAACAGTGAAAGAGAGAGGAGCAAGTGAAAAGGGAAGAGATGAGAATCAGATTTTAGAGAATGGGAAAAAGAGCAACCCGAATTCCCCACTAACTTCACTTACTAAAGCCCAGAGAGAATAATAATAATAATAATAATAATAATAATAATAATAATAATAATAATAATAATAATAATAATAATAATAATAATAATAATTTATTTATACCCTGCCTTTAGCCAAGGCTATCAAGGCAGCTTACATTTAAAATCAATCACAAAACCCAAACAATACAATAAGCAGATAACGCCCCCTTAAAAATAAATTAAACTGACATTAAAATCTGATTAAAAACAATAGGCTTTGAGGCATCTAACAGATTAAAACAAGCGGCACTCTAGGTAAATAGGGGAAGAAAGGAGAGAACTATCTAACAATGAGGAGCATGTTGGAAAGTAATATTATTCTGGGAACGCCTGCCGGAAGAGATTGATTTTGATGGCTTTTTTAAAGCCATCTAAGTTCGTTATCTGATGGATCTCCTCTGGCAGGGCATTCCACAGTCTGGGGGCTGTGGCAGAAAAAGTCCTCTGGGAGGTCGTCGCTAACCTAGCTTTTAAGCAACTTCCTCCCAGAGGATCTGAGGGCTCAGGGTGGATTATATGGAAATAGGCGATTGCATAGGTAGGATGGACCCAGGCCATGTAGGGCTTTAAAGCTCACCAACACCTTATACTGTGCTCGGAAACTAATGGGCAGCCAGTGCAAGGATTTCAGAACAGGTGTAATGTGATCACTCTTTGATGTTCCGGTGATCAACCTGGCTGCCATACTAGTTGTAGTTTCTGAGTTAGGTATAAGCCCTATGTAGAGTGCATTGCAGAAGTCGAGTCGTGAGGTTACCAGCACATGTACTACAGTTTCTAGGTCCCTTACTTTCAGGAAAGGGCGCGGCTGACATATCAGCCAAAACAACAGTTGGTTTTTCTGCTACACCTATTGGTTAGGATCAGATCTAAAATAGCTGATCCCCTTGTTGCCTCTTCCACCTTTTGGACAACGAAATTATCTTCAACACAAGTGAGGAATTTGCTAGACCATTTTTTGTGACTTCCAACAAATAGTTGAAGTCACCCATCACTACTACATCTCTCCTTTCTGAGCTTGGGAGTCTGCAGTAGACTCCCACTATAACATCCCTGTTGTTTCCCTTCCCTTTAATTTTTATCTAGATGCTTTCCATCTGTCTTCCAGGATTTAAGTTCTGGATCCCTTCACAGGTATAAACATCCCTGAATATAATGCTGCTCCTCCTTCTTTCCTGTTTGGCCTATTTCTCT